TTAAAAGCATATAAATTATATTTTTAATATATTAAAAAAATGATATAAATAATATAGTATTATTATAATATTATATAATATTAATATAATAGTATCCTTATTCTTTATTATATTCAATTATATAATAACATTAATATATTATTACATTAAATTACATTAAAAATATAAATTATTTTAAAATAAAAAATTATTTTAAAATATAAATTATTTAAATTATATTAAAAGCATATAAATTATATTTTTAATATATTAAAAAAATGATAAAAATAATATAGTATTATTATATTAAATTACATTAAAAATAGAAATTATATTTTTCCAATATAATCCAAAAATTGATATTACAAATTAAAATGATATCATTCTGTAAATGATTACCAAAAAAAAAAAAATGAATGTTATCAAACAAAATTGATATTTATTTGATTGATACTTTATTTTTTTGCATTTCATGATTTTTGATTGTATACATTTGTAATGGAATTAAAAAATTAGTTTTTAGATTGGATAAAGATGAAAATTAATGTTATAGTATTTTATCATGAGTGGAAGGGATAAAAGGATACGTATTATTTGTTAACACACAAAGAACGATTTCCTGTTAATGAAGAGGAAGAGGGGGTTCAAATGAAAGTAAAACTGTCTTCTTGTTGGTTGCGAATGTTGGATAGAATTCAGTCGTCTCCAAGACGAGTTAACGAAAGATTGAAGTTTCTTTTTGTTTTTTGTTTGTTTGTTGGTTATTCTTTTTCTTCTATCATTCTCCTTACCTTCTTCCTTTCTCTCCTTTTCACATTCACTTTCTCTTTTTCTTTGTATTATTTTATTGTTATTTAATTTTTCTTTTTTTTCATTTATTGTCATACGTCATTTCCAATATTGTGACAAGAAATTGATCTAAGTTTATTTTGAATATAAAATAATTCAACATATTGAAGAAGCAAAAGGAAGAAGCAAAAGGAAGAAGAAAAAGAAGAAGAAGAAGAAGAGGAAAAAATAGAAATAGAAAATGTATGAAGTTGACGTGTTTTAAAAGTTGCAACAAGAAAGAGTATAAACTCATATTTGAAGGCCAACTCAAACGTAATTATATTGCGTACACACATACGTGTTCCAGGAATAAAAACTTCGGTTTTAAGTTGATTTTTAAATTGTGAACAAAATTTTATTACAAAAAAAAAAATAAAAAAATAAAAATAGGAAAGATACCAAACATTGATGAATTTGTTCAAATCTTGAACAAAATTTTTTTAATAAATATTATCAAATGAGTGCAAAGATGTAGTAAAAAAATTACAGAAAAAAAAACAAACAAACAAACATATTTACAATCTAAAAATATTTTCTACATAAAGGAAATAAAAATAAATCATTGATCATTAATTGATATTATCGATGATGATGATGATTTATTTTTGGTATAAATTGAAATATCTCATTGTTCATTGAAAGAGAGAAAATTTTTCTAATAAGATTTATAATTTTTTTAATTTAAATTTATTTCTTTGATAAAAAAATCCTTCAAAACGGTTGTTGTTGTGTTGTTGACTAAAAGTTTCAAGAAAATGACATTAAACGACAAAATGGAAAACAACGTGGAAAATACAATCAGGTTTGTACAAGATGATACATGTACCTCTATTTTTTTTTAATTATAATTTTAATCTATTAACATTAACACTTTCACAACCGCTGACACCAATGTGGTGTCATAGGCAGGCCAGTCGTCGTACGCCGGTGACACACAAGTAGTGTCATTGGTAGGCCAGTCGTCGTACGCCGGTGACACTCATGTGGTGTCATTGGTAGGCCAGTCGTCGTACGCCGGTGACACACATGTGGTGTCATTGGTAGGTCAGTCGTCGTACGC